TCCTGGGAGAATTGTTCCTGGGAACGCAGTTTCTGGATTCAAGCATTATATTCTCTAGAAGGTGAGATAAGAATAAAATGTAATGAGCTCTTATTACGGGGAGAAGTAGAAGTACTGTGGGCATTGCTGTGTAGGGCATGGGGTGGGGGAAGGGGTCTGTGACCCAGGCTGGGCACAGGCTCAGCGCCATGGCCTTTGTTCTTGCTTGGGTTGTCGGCTCTGCAAGCAGTTACAGTGGAGCATAATTATTGCTCTTATGGCAAGATGTGCCAATAATATGCTCCATGGGGTGTACACTAGGCGCGCTTATTCATTCTAAATGGATGTATCAGGGAAGGCACAAGAAAGGAGAACTAGAAACCAAGTCCAGAACAGTTAGTGAGGGTCTGCAAGTTGAAATATTTAGGGAGACAGTCCATGATTCTTCTGAGTAGAGTGTCAAAAGGTGGGAAAGAAATTTAGGTGAACTGAGCATTGCTGGAGATGAACTGTTGGTGGAGTCGTGTTATAAAATGAGATACACAGAAACAGAGGGGATGATCAACAGAGGGTCCTTTGGATCATACATAGAGGCTCAATGAATATTTGATGAATGAGTCTTAGATTGTGATACAGTAATTGCTGTAACTGGGAACTAGATCATGGTTGCTAATGGTTGTTAATGAGATATTTACACCTCTTTAAAGAAGTATCAGTGTTTTTCCACCTGAGGGGGTATATCCATGTCACTGGGCTGTGCAGTCACTATCCTGGAGCCTGGTGAGTGATTAAAAAATACAATAAAGTGGCAAAGAGCATCTGACAAAGAGCGCAAAAGCAATGAGTAAACCGGGGCAACATTTGCTACATATGAAGCCGGCGCACGCCAGTGCCTTCCTGTTACTGCCTTATATTCTGCAAAGCAGAAAAAAAAAAGATCAGTTGGCTCAAATCTGAAAAGCTGAAGTGCTACTTGCTGGTTTACTAGATGTCTACACCACTTACTCCGTCATCCTCCTGGTCTCGCTGGAGCAGCTCCTCAGCCTGACTGTCCCCATTGTTAGTTTTGCAATGTACTGACTGGAAGAACACTTTTAGGTGAGTTATGCGTCCCAGGACCTAGGGTGGGTTCCAGTGAGGGTAGATTTGTTTTATGTCCCCTGAATTGTTTTTATGAATGCAATTCCCATATTTTCAAGCCCTACAGTTCTCATGCTCTGCTGACTGTAGAGTCAAGGGTAGAGAGATTCCTTGATTGTTAAACAGCTAGTGGTTTCAGATGCATAGGCATTTCCTTCAAACTGAGATCTTTATACTGAGGCTAATTTAGTTCCCTACAATAAAATATTTTAAGGCCTTTTTTTTTTTATTAAAGCAGGAGTTAGAATAATTAACATTGTTTAGAAAATACTGCTTAATATAAAAGGATCTCCAAAGAAATTATAATCGCTCTGTAAAATGGAAGGTAGAAAGCACTAAAAAATTCATGAATATGAGAAAAATATGCTTCAATAAAAATGCATGTGGAGCCAAGTTGTGTTTTAGAATAGAACTTGGAGTGTTGTGTTTGCATCGAAATGAGCCCCCAAAATAGAAAATTCTGATTAAAAAAATCCTCTAAAGTAATGATAAATATATTTCCTATAATTGAACAGCAAGTACCTAATATGGATCAATAGTGTGTACAGTACCAGATTCTCATTTGCTGTTTGCCTATGCTGGTGAGCATAGCCCCACTTCTAGGTATAATGGAAAACAAAAGTTCATGTGCCCCCAGCCATGGCATAGAGTGAAGGGTCATTACAGTTGTGAGTAGTGTTTCTCAGCAGGATCATTTTTGGTATTTTGGGGGCGGGTGCCCTTTGTAGCGTGGGACTTTAACACTGCACGACTGAATCAGCCCTGGCCCCACAGAACTTCACTATGATCGGAACATCCAAACTGGCCTCTAGAATAGATTATCTGGTGATACAGCTTTCCGCTCAGATCAACTGGTGTGGAATAGGGGCTGGCGACCTTTTTCTGTAAAGAGCCAGGTGCTAAATATTTCAGGTCTGTGAGCCAAGCACTCTCTGTTACAACCCTATTCAGCATTACTACTGGAGCAAGAAAGCAACCATAAGCAATATGAAAAAGAGTGGCTGTGTTTCAATAAAACTTTATTTACAAAAGCAGATGGTTGACGGGATTCACCTGTGGGCTGCAGTGTGCCAGCCCCGCTGTATGTGCTGCAAGTCTGCCAATTTCAACAGCAGGGATGTTACTTGGAAACAATCAGTAATAGGTCAGTTAGGAGGGTTTCGAGCTGCAAGTAATATGAAATCGTATCTACCGTTTCTAAAGGCAGGGTGGTTTCAGTCTTGGCCAGCGGAATGTATTATTGTCATAAAAGACCCAAGGGCCTTCCTTCTTTCTGCTTTGTTATTCTCAGCTATTGGAGGCTACCGAGTGGACGCAGCAGTGTCCCGTGCTGTTACAGCAGTGCACAGGGAGGAATAACGTGCCTGTCTGTCCCCTAGGAAAACCTTCCCCAGAAGTCCTCAGCTGACCTGCTGTCAGATCCCAACTTAAACTAAAAGGGCAAAGTGGAAATTCCAGTTATGTGGAACTCCACTTAATTGAGCAGGACCCAGCGCTGACCCAAAGCTGTGGATACACTGAGATTGTGTTTAAGAGGAAGAGCCCCAGGCTTTGCGGGGTTAGTGGAGGACCACGTCTATGAGATGCAGTATTTTCCTCGCCAGTTACATTATAGTTTAAACCTAATCTGTACTCAGTGCTGTTTGAGGCCATTTGTTTTCCGTTGTTCCTCATCTGTTCGGAGGGAGGGTTCATGCATATCTGTTTGGGGGCAGAGGAGAGAGAGGAGCCTGGATCAAGGTTCTACCCACTGATTGTGGGTAATTTCTCTCTAGTACTGAAGAGCCAACGTGGAACCATGCCACTTGTCATGAGGTCAGGAACACCAGTGTGTGACAGACCACGTTTAAATTTGGTTAACAAAGATTACTTGGTGGTCCTTACAGAATATTTTAAATAAGCCCCAGATAATCACATGTCATTACCACATCATTTGGTTTGCATTATAAGGACTGAATATCATTGGTTGAAAGGCACTCTCACTGAAATGTTGTAAGTGTACACTTAAGTCTCAAATGCGAATGCAGAAGACCATCTGGTTCTTCCAGGCTCATCAAGGTGCTGCCCTGTAATTTCAGATGAAGCGGGTGACTTGCTTGCCCAGAGAGTCACTTTGGTGTCTGAAAAATACAGATATAAGCAAAGACTGGTTTTCCCACTGCGTGTGCTGTGTTCCCTGCGTTACGTCCTGACCCTCCTGTAGCGGAGTGCCTTCTCAGAAGACCTGAAGCTTGTCACTAGGGATGGCTCTAATTCGAGTTCTAAATTTTTTCCTGGAGTTGCTCCAAAATTTTGAGCTCTTTAGGCTGTCGGCATTGGGGTTGAACAACTTCCTTTAGATGCACCCGTGTTTACTTTAGTGAAGAATGACACTGTCTTGTGGGTAGATTTGTTCGGGAGGCCTTGTTTTGCATGCTTTTGATGTCTTCGCATTATATCAGCCTCTTTTATGCTAATTGTTTATGTATGTGTTTATTAAAAATATTGAATTCGCAGTATTGTCCTCAAGGATTCCAACATTCCAGCGTGATGGAGACAAATGAGTGAACAATTGAAATGGAGTGTGAATGGGGCTCACTGAGAGGAAGCAGGGTGTGCTCCGAGAGCAAGGCTGGGTCTAAGACGTTCAAGAAATGACGTGTTTCAGAGGATAACGGAGAGTAAGGCAAGTGAAGAAAACAGGGAGACGCTCCCCTGTGGGAGGAAAGACACGGTCAGAGGCTGAGAGGTGCCAGGATGTGGCGTGTTCCGAGGACAAGGCGCGCTGCACTAAATCTCGAGTTCACGGAGACTTGAGATGCGAGCCGGATGGATGCCACGTAATGAATCAATACTGAAGGCCAGCAGATATAATTGGAACTTTATTCTTCTGCCGTGGAAGTCAGTAGAGGCTTTTCAACAGGGTGACATGGAGTAGTTTTTATTTTGGGGGGATAAAAAACCCTGCAGCACAGAGGAGGAATCAGAGCAGGGGCTAAGACCGAAGGCAACATGACTGGTCCAGAGACTTTTCAATAATCTGAGGAAGAAATAATGATGGCCTTGATTAAGGCAGTGGTGATAGAGAAAAACAAAAGTGATACTTATGAAATATCAGAGAATTTTTTTGACCTAATGAATATTTTGATGCAGGAGGTAAGGGAAAGGAAAGGAATTGAAATGACTCCTACATTTCAGACAGGGCTTGACAGATACATAGTGGTTCTGCTCAGATGACACAGGAGTTGGACCAATTTGGAGGGAAAAGGGATGAGTTCACTCTTAAGCAGGTTTACTTTGAAGGGTTTGGAAAACTAGTAAATGATTGCTTCCAGGGGGCTGGAACCCAGGCGGGAGCCCTGAGCTAGACAAATAGATTTGGGAGTTTTCAACAGAATATAAGCTACAGACATGAATGGCACCAGCCAGATACTGTGTTTAGGGCAGGGAAGGACTGAGAACAGGATGCCAGGAGGGTAGAGGAAGAGCAGGAGAGAGTGGTGTCTCTGAAACCATGGACAGAGCACCACATTAATATTGTCAAATACTGCTGAGAATTCAAGTAAGGTAACTGAAAAGGAGGCCACTGGATATTTTGAGGTGATAGATTTATCTATATTTAAATAAGGTATATGTGATCATTATATAAGTTGAATATATATATATATATGTTGACTATATATATTCAACTTACATAATGATCTATATATAGTGAAAATGTGTTTAGTGAAAAATATATATAATAATGTATAATTTAAGAATTTCCATAAATCCCACCACCCAGCATAACTATTGTTAACATTTTGATGCATATTTTTCCAGAGTTTTTCTATATGTAAATGTATTCTCTATCTAGCTATATCTAGATATATGTCTATATATAACAGAAGAGTTCCTACTCTAAAAATATGAGACACTGCATGAATTTGCTTGTCATTCTTGCCCAAAGACCACGATCACCTTCTCCACATCCTTCCAGTTTTAGTATATAAGCTGGGGAAGCACATGGCGTCCACTGCATCAAGCAACTAGGAGACCATTTGTAACTTTGCAAGGCTAATTTCGGTGGAATGGTGAGGGTAGGAGCCAGATTGTGTGGGGTGGGGAATGGGTAGGCAGTGAGGAAACGGAACAAACATTAGAGCCTGCCCTCTCAAAGAAACAGGCTGTGAAGGGAAAGAGAAATAGAAGATGTCAAGAAAGGAGTAGGATGGAGAGCGTTTATTTTTTCTTTTATATTTTCGTTGTTTAGTTGGACAGGACTTCCCACTGACTAGAAGGAGCCAGCAAAGGGAGATGAAATGAGGATACAGTGGAGAGGCTGTGACTGATGGATCTGGGAGTCAGGAAGGGATGGGGAAGAGGAAACAGGAACCAAATCCCATCTTCCAAGAAGGCCAGTAGGAAGGAGGTGAAGGTGGGAAGAGATGCTGCTACATTTGGGGATGGGTCACCTGAGGTGATTCCGGTCACCTCAGAACGAAGACGGCTGGTACCCACATGCAGTCAGTTATTTGATGAAGTCTTTCTGAACGTGCATGAAACCAAGGGCTGCCACATTGGATACGATCCATTATCTGTCCCCTCGTATCCCGAGAGTGGTGCCAAGAGATATATGTTAGAAAGGTCTAGCCTTCTCTGACAAAATGAAACCTCGGGAACGGTCCCCAAATGCTCTGGTTACCTTAAATAACCCACGAAGGAGTTATTGTCCACCTATTTCTGTCAAGCTACTTAAAGCTGTGTGTTTTGTTTTTGTTTTTGTTTTTACTTGTCTGCCCTCCAAGACATACTAACCATGAAGTAAAGCATTTAACCAAGGGAGGTTGCATTGTACAGTAGGAAAACGGATTTGAAACAAATCTGGTTGAATTCCATTCACTTTGAGGAAATAACGTCCTTGTGCTTTGGTTGTCTTCTGTTGTGAGATTGGGATCCTGTTGCGTTGACCTCGTAGCAGACAGGAGACAGCGTAAGGTAATGACGGTGTTAGTGTCCCCACAGGTGGCTGTCCCGTACACATCTTGTTACTCCGTGTTTGAAGGCTCCCTTTCAGTCCTGCACACCAGGACTTGCTGATAGAAGTAGGGAGCTCATAATAATGATAATAAACTGGCCAGTGACCAAGAAAATCTTTGTTATTGTGAAATGCAAGTATGATGAACCAGGTGGAAAGGACTACCCCTGGCCATGCAGACTTCGCAGAGCCCGTCTGCATGTCCTGAGGGCCGTGGTACATTTTATGTCTGTATTTTACAAAAGCGAATCACCTAAGGTACCTTTTGTCTCATAAGCACCAAGTTAAATGCCACAGTGGACCAGAAGGAAACCTGGGTTATTGTTTCTCTTTTCACATGTGACTTTCTATGACAACACGCTTATTAAGGTGATTTACCAGCAGGCATGTATGGCTGGGTAGCGCTGGTGCTGACATGTCAGTCCTCCCCACAAAAGACTCCGAAGCAAATACAATTGCTATAATGTGTTATGACCTTTCAAGGCTAGTAATTCAATTGAAAGGGGCGAGGGTAACACAAGGCAGGTGGATTATCTCCCATTGACTAAGCTGCCACCAGACGCCCAGCTGTACCCGCACGTTCTACCCGGTGAACGAGCCACTTTAAAATGGGAGAGGGGCGCTCAAAGAGGCAGCGGTGATCGGCTTAAATAATTTCTCGAGTTTCTGCAACTTAACTCCTTGTTAACTCGCCAGAACCTGTATGGATTTAACTGTGACTTTAAAGATAGGATGTAATAACCCACTAGAACTTGCTTAAAAGAATCCAAATCCCTTTGATCGTAGTCCGGTGGCCTCAGAAGCGGGTGTGCAGGGTGCCCATTGGGTCCGTGGCTTGGCGGCAAAACGCGCTTGGGAGGTCGAGGGGCTAAGGGTAGGGCCAGGCTGGGGGCGCCCTTATCCGTGTACAGCGATGATGACGGCCACCGCGAGGATGGTCCCGGGCACACGGCTGCTGTGCCCACCGCCGGAGAGATGAAGGAGAAGTTCCGGGCCTCGAGTGAAGCGGTGTCCCGGCTGACCCCAGGTCCTTGGCCCGCGGGTACCTGCGCGGGAGGGTGAGATAGAGCGGGTCAGAGAGCTGCGTCCTCGGCCACAGGCCTCAGCCTTCCTCCAAGATAG